CGCTTTTGTTGCCTAAGCTACTTACTATTTTTGTCCACTTTTTTGCCCCGTCTTACTGCTGCATAATTTCTCTTGATAATTTCGATGTTCATTTAGTTCCCGCTTTGGATGCGTAATCAATTCTGATATTCTATGATTATCCTTGTTTTCGTTCTCAGGCCTATTGTTTCTCAAAATAATATCCAACTCGTCTATAAAGAAAAAAGCAACTGCAACAGCATGGGTACAAGTAACGCGTATTAAGACACCTCTCTAGACAAACCGGTACCTATAATCTGTTTTCCGGTCTACGTAGATTGCCGCAGTACGGCCGAACCTGAACCCTGATTGGTCGTTAAAATGTGTCAAGAAGTGTTCGCTTAAGTTTGGATTTAATATGTGATTATTATGCCATCGGTTTGGAGTGAGTAGCCGGTGTTCTTTCGCCTTTATCCTAAATGGACAACCCGTCTTTAGTACTCGCCCACTAACCCCGCACCATGCTGTCATCAGTGTATTCTACGACCCTTTCCTGCCGCTGCTGACAGCGTTACACTTACAACGGCTCATCTGCCAGATATACAGGAATTGCGCTCCCCTCCGATCGGATCTTGTTCACATCATACACCAGGGAGTGAGATAAATTAAGGCTCCCACGTTTTTGAGTGTGCCGACTCCACAGTATCCTCCGGCGCTGCACCACAGAAAGGTTTATTAGTGTCCCGTGACTGCAGGCCTCCAGAATACTCTCCACCTTGATCCAACTTTGCATGCGAAACGTGACTGAATTGCTCATCTTCAGCAACTTTAATTCGACCCTAAGGTCACTTCCCGAGCGGCAAAGTGTTGCGCGCGATCTGTAAGCATCTGTAACGGCGCGCGGCTTGTATCTGGTAGACTTCTTTCTTTTTATGTCTTTCGTACTCCAAGTTTAACAACAACTGTCATCTTATAGCTTAAGAAGGTTCTTGTTTGATGTTCAATAAAGAGACTGGGCTCCTTGAAATAGGGATTTGATTCCACTCATGGCTTATAAACAATCAGGCTAAAATTCCATGTCTACCGCAAGCTATCCTATTTGTTGTGCAGGCATGTCTTGTCTCTCGCCTTTTGTCGACCGTAATTACAATTACGAATTGTACGCGTTTTTTCTGCTCATACAAGATATGCGCCACCAATTTTGTCTTCTGGTAAACGGGAAGAACGTATAGCACTCGTTTTTTCCAGCCATAAACCAACTCCCATTCTCCACATTGTAGTCGGGAAGATTGCATTCAGAATTCTTGGTAATAATATCGGGTTCTTGTGCAGACCTACATGCATTTTTCATCAGTCAGGGCTGAAGTATCGACGAGGTTTGTATGATATACAGGCCACCTCGATCGATTTAACTTTTAGCCTAATGATAGCTGAACCTGGATTCAAAGTCGTGGCTGGCTTGCGACTGCAAATAGTTTGGAAACGGCCACTCCAGCATACCTCGTTCTCGTTCAGATTACTGCCTAGTCGTGCTTTTACTTGTAACAGTATTGAACATGGCGGGTTCACTCGGCATCATGCCGCAGGTTGGCCGCTTCACGAATAAATTCTGACCATTTCAGTCTTTCCATGTTCGACTCTAGCTGAGGGAAGCCAGTTGATACGCCACCGCTTGCAGATCGGCTATTTTGGAGACGCAGTCGGAGGGACGGATGCATGAAGTGTATTGCAAGTACCAACTAACAAATACTGCCAGGCGATGAATTTCATATGAACTCTCAGGCCGTGTCCGATATTCGTGTAGAATGATTTACGACGAAAGCCTCATTGGTCCGCAGTTTTGACTTCTGACTGATCTGTTGTCAATTCTAGGAAGTTTTGAGAGAGAATGGCGAAGGTCTTGAACGCCCGGCTGATCGGGTGACTGATTTCATCCTTACCTTGCTCAACTAAGGATAACAGTTGTTCTTTAACTCAAATGTTTCGATGTACACTGGTCAAATATCACTGATCTTAAACCCCTTGATGATCATCATCACCCCGAGGTGGTTTATTATATGGTCCATTGGGGCCGTCTTAACCTCAATCGAGATTGCTGAAGAATCCACACTAGCACGTAACTGAGCAGATCTGATAAGACGGCTCACCGCCAACTGATGTCAATGCCATCAAAGACATCGGTCTTCCTGCCATTCATGCGGACTTTTGCTCTGGTACTGTAGTAGTAAGCCTAAAATGGTCAGGACAACTTCGCTTATGTTCCATGGTGCATCATCCTCGATCAAAAGGTATCCTGTTAGACATCTTAGGGGTGCAGTTACAATGCCCACAATTTAAATGAGGGCGCACTGTTGACAGTAGTGAGTGTTAAGAGGTTTGTCGAAGGAAGACGTGTTTTCAGTGCACCCCGTTCCGACCGAAATCCGCATTGCTTCTTCCTTGTTCTTTTGTCGATGTACTAGAAGAGGCACTAAAATGGAACACGGATACTCTTTTCGATACTGCCATGGGCAATTATCGGACGGTTTCTCATATACAGTGATCTGACGCCTGATGACAATCTCTTATCGATATACTTTTCCAGTTTCTATGTCGGAAGGCTGTGTTAGCTCTTCGCCGTTATTGTCTAGCAGAATTTTAGATTCTCGCCAAGTGACACAGGTTGCCAAATTATTTAGCGTTCTTCCGTTTTGTTTTTTCGTCAGGGAACTATTTCACAGTCATATTCGGACACCGAAAGCTTTCACCTTGGTCTATAACTGAAAACACCCAGCCTGCAAAATACTCCGTCTGTCAGTGTCGTGTCTACCGATAAAATTATCGTCATGCCTTTGGTTGTCTCGGATCTTTGAACGGCATCCCACACCTAAGGTAGCCTCATTCCGTCGTTTGTCGTTAGTGTGTGCTGCAGAATGGATGGTATCACAACACAAGTGTTTGAAGTTCAAATCGTCACGGAGATGGCTAGCTCTTGAACTATTAGTCAGTCGGGCCTCTTCAGTATAAATGTAACCCCTGTGTTGACGCCCACTATTGTCCGGCGCTTCCTGAGAGGTACTTTTGAGAGTTTGCTTTATTTCGACGTATCTGGTATCAAGTGGAGACACCTCGGAGATGTTCGTTTTCCCTCTCATTTTGACAGTTCGATTGGATACACCCGGATTTGGACCACTGGCAGTGGTGGAATGCTTGAAACATTTGTCATTATACGCTTTCGAACGCAATTTTGCGACGTCGGATAGTCGGGCCACTACAAGAGTATGGTCAGCCGTCCCCTCCTCCAGTGTCGACAGCACACAATCGCGTGAGATTCTAGCACGGAGCCGACACACCGTGCTGTAATTGGGTAGTGGTCAACTTGTTTTTGACTGCTGTCGTTATTTAAGTACTTGGTGACCACATGCCTCCTAGTTTGCTGAGAGATGGTCCTGTGACTAAACAGTTCAGTGAACATGTAATGCGCTTCGGGAACTGCTGAATCTTACTGTTACCTTTTGAGTATTCAACCGTTGCTGTTAGGTATTTTAGGGAGCAGCATTATCCGAAAAGCGTCAGAGCCTGTCGCGCGGTATTCATGCCGATTTACTGTTTTTTGTTCGCGAAGCTTCACCTTTTAGCATAACTAAACAGTGTCATCAGTGTGCCAGAAGACGTTTTTACATCCGGTTACTTAGTTATGCATACAATTTTGAGTTATGTAAACTGTCACTGCTGCACGGAATTTTATTTTGAGCACTCACCGGCTTGTTGTTGCCGCCTTTGTGATGAACAGTCGCGACCATAAAGACCTCGGCCGACTACCCTACAAGCTTACCTGACGTCAGCGTGGTTATCAGTGTCTACCTGCTATGCGAGAATCGAGCTGTTGAGCATATTAACTTAACTATTTCTGAGTAATTCCGGCAGTTCTTGTATTCTTTTAAACAGGCATCGAATCGTTCGAACAGTGTTCATTACTCAACAGGGAGAAATGAATAAGTACGTACACACTGGAGCTCTTTGAGGTGACAAATTGCCTTTGTTTCTCGGTTGTCAAACCGTACGCATTTGGGTACAGAAAATGCGTGTGGAATACACGGAGTTAGTTGTCCCTTTGTCACTTCGCAGGGTGCATCGTCTTAGCTTGTTTGACGAAAGAGCTACATTTTTTCGTAGTAATTCTCCCTTTGTCCATCTCTTTTTGGATACTTCAAGACGATGATGCTCAAAAGTATTTCATGCAGACCCTGTAGTCACTGTGAGCCACGGTTAGTTAACCGAACGTTCACATGTACTTCGGATCACGACAACTGCCCGTCTTACCTTTTGGTCTTCAAAATTGTATCAATTTAGCAGGCATACTGTTAGCATTTCAAACTTTTTTGTTCCGTCTAGCATCCCCGCTATGGATTTTGTGACATGCAAGGGATCAGCACCCTGTAGATGCGTTTCACGATCAGAAGCCGACGCTAGTCCTATTCCCCTACCACGATCACCGCAATTTTGCCGACCAGGCACAAATGCCGACTATCCAGAAAACCCCATCACTCAGTTCCGGATCCGGTTCGACAGGAACGCTGGTGGCAATCGCAACGAGGATGCTTTTGACACAGGACGTTGTGTGGACTCTACGCCTTGTCTGACCCTCTGTCAAGACGCTCATTCGCCGATGCCCGAGTTTAGACCCAGTTCGCCTTGCGCAATGCCAGCGAACGTCAGCAATCCTTCTATATGTCCGCCGGAGTATTCGAATGCAAGCACTCAGTGCTACGCTGCCCCTCAGTCCGCCTGCCCCCAACCCGCTTGTCCCCAGTCCGTCTGCCCGCAGCTCATGTCTTCCCAGTTCTCGCCACCCGGATGGCCGATGTGTCCGCCCGTGTTGACACCGAACGCGGAGCACAGTTTTCTGCTCCCCGGCTGTCCTAACAGCATTTCTCAGCTACCGCCACCGCCGCCGCCACCACCAGCACAACCTTCTGTGCCTATGCCACAGTGCTGTCAGCCGGCTATCTTCGGGCCCCTCATTAGTACCGATCCCTGTGTAAAGGTGCCCGACGGCCAGTATGTCCTTGTTCACCCCTGCTGCTCCTGTAAGCATCTTATTTTGATGTTTTTTTTACTTTCATTGCTTCTTACTTCTATCCGATGTGGTCTTTCTAGTAGCCTGTAGAGTTAAACATTTTGCATCATGGAGTCCAATATTGTACGTGTGCTTGATACGGCTGTGATCATGCTTAGTCTAACCGACGTTGGCTATTTCGTTGGTTACATCTCCCCACGCAGGACGATATGCAGCAGCAGCCTTTAGTAACGACAGAAGCCGAGTACTGAAGGTCCAAAAACCACCTTGATGCCCTCTTCTCGTCAGGCATGCATCTAGAAGGCTCTGGTTTCCCCAAAGTTGGCGGGTAAACTGACTGATCTACTGACATTAATTCTTGAGACTGAATTCTATAGGCCACCGCAACTTGATGCTAACAGAGCGATATCGTTGGCGTAATCGAGACCAGTCAGTCGGCATAGAAACCCAATTTAGTAGCTTTCCAGGAACCCAGGCAGTGGTATTGTTAAATAGATAAGGCGACAGAATGCAGCCCTAACGAACGTCAGATTTTCTTCCGAACACTTGCAAGTGGCTATTGCGCATCAGAACGTGCGGAACGGTAGATCGTTTACAGACCATAACTCCGACCGTACCGTAAGCCGAGGGCTTCAAAACTGTCCTTACCTGAATTTTCCTATCCCCTCTCCAAATACACTGGTGGGATCCCACCACAAAACTTGTCGCATTGACTCCGGTGAGTGTTCCTAGAATTTTGAATTCCAATTTGACTCTTTTTTCCTTGTTTGCCTCCCCTACTGTCTTAGTGACGCCCCATCCATTTCGATGTCTCCACAGATTTCTGTATCAAAAGGCCTTTGATGGCTCATGCTTGTAATTCGTATTTCAGGTTGTATGGAGAGGGGCAATTCGGTAAGAATTACTCCCCTTGCTCACTCCAGTTCTTATTCGTTGCCGCGTCGGTTCTCATTCCAGTTTGAGTTAAAAAAACGCTTACTATCTAAAACGTAGTAGCATCATATTATGTTTGGTTTTTCCGTTGACAGGCGGGCGGCGCACTTGGGGGTGACAGCGCAAATGCAAGTGCCGGCGGCGGTGGTGGTGGTGGAAAAAAGAACGGCAAAAAGGGCAAGGGAGGAAAGAAGAAGGGAGGTAAAAAACAAAAGGGCAAGCACAACTCAGCAATTGACTCGGAACTCCCCTCGAACTCCTACCCGCGGATAAGCCACCTTCGACAGCTCTTCAAGCATCAGTGCAGAATTCCATCAGTAAGCCGCTTTTTCCGTGCGTATTATTCCGCTGTTCCGCATTTCTTCGTATTCTTTTGGACAAACTCTGGCTAGGGTCCATCCCACGCAGATGAAGCCTCTGCGAAGACTGCCGTCTTCCGGTAGTACTGTGTAGAAAATTTTCCGAGCAGCCCAAGTCATCGGACATGACCCGATGCGCATCCACTGTTTCAAAAACGGCCTATTTTTCTCAAATCAATCGTTATCTCATCTCGTGGGGTCCATGAACATACTTTAAAGACTTGTCCCAAGTTCTATCATTAATGAACCTATCTACCCTGATCATGCTCCCTCTGCAGAACTTGATAATGCCTATGACTATCATGACCGCCCGGGAAGTTCATTTCGGTCCACCGAAACGGAACCGGATTCGTCAGAATTGAACTAGCTCATTGTCTTGTCTGACCGGGACTGATGATGCTGTTACGAAAGCGACCAGTCTAAGCCAAACGAGGGTATTATCGCCAATCCAGGAAAAGGGACACGTTTCTGGTGATGTTTAAAACGCAGAAGAGGAAGAAGAACTGCCCGGTCGCTGGAGAAAAGTTTCATTCGTCTGAGCTTGAGGTCTCATGCACGACCAAATCCCTACAGAGAACGAATTAACATCTAATCAGCACTGATTGCCAATTTAAGCCGAGAAAATATCTTTCCAGGTCTAGCTGGTATCAGGTGGACAGATTGGGGATGACACCGTCACTGATGTCGGCTGCCTGCCGTGAGCGAGGAATGAACCCTGTCCAGGAACGCCACGATGTGGCTTTGTTTGCGCATCTTGAACACAGCAGATGTATGCGCAAAGAGTGGATATCAGCCATCACCATTCATTTGGCGGGTGATACGCAATGCTCCCGACTTCAACTACGGTCTGAGGTTTTACAGGGCTGTGGCCTCAAGCAAAGAGTCAGTTAGAACATGGTCTCAGGATTCGAATTAGCTTTAATTTTCGATCTTACTGAGAAGCTTAGTGAGCCCCTTCGGTCCTCGTCAAGGTGCAGCTCTACAGTCTATCTAACGATGAGAGCGGGGGCAGACCTCCCTATTACGTCAGTGAAAGGACGGTTGCCTTTTCTGTACGCTCCCATCTAGGCTTATAGTGCGGTCACGCTTTCAAAACCCAGCCATGACAGCGACTGTTTACCGTCGTCTAGCGTCGAAATACGAGCAGTAATTCAGCGTCTCCGGAAAATCAGAACACCAGTTAAGGACGCGCTGCCAGTGGAAGTGTCTAGAACCTGTTTCGATGTTACTTTTTAGCAGCCTGAAAAGACATTTAAACAAGTCTGGTGCCATGCGTCTTCCCCACAGGACTGGAGCATCGCCACCCCACTTTCAAAGTGGAAGACGAGACAGAATACAGTAACTACCTCTCCGCGAGTGTCTTTGGAAGTAGGCTTTTGAACTTTTTTCGTTCCACTAGGCATGCACTGACAGGAATACCAGGGCAGTTTTCATCGCGGCAATGGCGTCATCGGCCAAGTATTTATACCTTAGCGAATTCTTCGGAGGGAATTTGTCTGTTTGCTTGATTTCACTGCAGTGTTTTCTCCGTTCGATGGAAGTGCTGTCCTAAAGGCCATGCTCAGTGCTAACATGCCTCAAAGTGCATGAACATGGTCAAGAAGTACTGTTCGGCTCCTCTCTGCCACCAGTGGTGAGAAAATAACCTGCTGCATACGGCTCACGCGTTATAAACTCTGTCGACCTCCCCTCGAATTCCAAAATAGGCGTGTCAACACCGCCCTGTTCTGTTGCAGCGAAATATGGCTGTTACCTGCTGCCAATCTGAGGAAGATCGAGGTATTTGATGGCTGCTACCTCCAACAAGTACCGCGGGTTCGGCTCATGGACTGCGTCTCGAGCGTGGAACTACTTCTCTGATCAGGGACACCTGCCAGTATTGCAGTAGTGGGCCATCCACCCTTCCAAGTTGTTCGATTATACGCCTCGTTGCCTCTAAAGGAAGCTGATTGACGACGTCATCTTTCCTAAGCGCTGCTAACATTGTGGCCCACAGAAGAAGTGCATAAATGTACTTAAATTTGACCTGCAGAGGTTGCCGGGGGTTGATGATTCTCGGGATTGGATTTGTAGGCGGATAACGACCGCCGGAGGCCTCACCTTTGGTTGCAAAGTATGAGCTAAGCTGGTTCGTGATATCGTGAGCTGTGGGGGCTTACTCAGTCAGCATTCATCTTAATGGTGACTAGTATAGGCGTCTGTTGACCGCCCCTGACAGCTTGGTTAGTACGAATTTGTGTGATGGTGTCGACGGTCAACTATCTTCCGGTGTTCGTGAAAACGGTCTTTGATCAGTTGTACTTGCGATCCGGCCTTCTAGCAAAGCCTGCTCATTTCTTGTCAGAGTAACTAGTCCACACTCTTCATAACTTTATCTTGTCAAGAGAGCTTTCTCTACCTTCGATGAGGACTGCTTCGTTAAAGTCTTTCTGACATTTGTACGGCCACAGCTAGAGTTCGCTATTCAGGCGTGGACCTCTAAAGATCTCAGCATCATTGAGGAAGTTCATAGGCGGGCAACCAAACTCGTAAGTGGACAGGGTTCACTACCTTATGAAACACGACTATCGAATCTCGGCCTTTTTTCCACTGAGTTACAGACAGCTAAGAGGCGACCTTATACAAACATTCCGTATAATGCGCGGCCAGAACTGTTGTCTCTTACCTGCTGATTTCTTTGAGTTAGCAACCACAGCGAACCTCCGTGGACATCCACTTAAACTACGTGTGACTGGCGCCAGGCTGGACATTCGGAAGTTCTTCTTTTCAAACAGAGTTGTCGAGGCTTGGAATGCTTTGCCTGCAGATGTCGTCATGTCCACCGCCGCCGAGGCTTTTAAGCGCAAGTTGGATCGGTGTGCCACTAAACGTCATATGTCACCTGATCGACATCGTCTTAGCTTTTCGTTTGAACTGTTTATTAATGTTAACATATTACTACCTGTATTTCAGTAACGCTTGTTTTTTATTATTGTCCCAGGTCCATTGAATGTGTGTGTTGGCATTTAACTCGTCTCCCCCAGAAACTGAGATAGCACCAATTATCCATTGACAGACCACTGTACAGCACATTTAGTAAAGTTATTGTGTTTAACACTCGGAACAATTCGTTCATCTGTCTGGTTTCGAAAACTTTGTCGATCTGAAAAAAATTTCCATAGCTCTTTGATGTTTCCATTGTCAAATTTTTGATATAGTTTGCTTCCTTGTAACAAAAAGGGAGTTCAAAGGTTCAACATCTATGTTCCCCTCAAATGAACTGAAACTGAAACTAAACTGCATCACGGGGGTAGTGAAGACAATCAGGGGAGTAGAAATGAAGAAACGCGGTTGCCCTGTGCCATTTACTCAGTGCTGTTGCCCGAAATCCACTGGAGTCGACGTGGCGACGTTCAACTCTAGGCCTACCTCCACGCTATCCGCCAGCATTCTGACATTGTTCCTGGTCTCCGCCCCCCATACTCAGTCATTGTCAGTAGAACAGACCCAAATGGAGCTCACTTCTTTCGCTGGTGCAAAGTCGCCGGTGAGAGGCTGTCCAGTTTTTATGGCCACAAAGACCTCAAAATCAGTGTCTACCACGGCGATGAAAAAACAGTCTGCAAGAACCCCTTATTGAGCGGCTGCAGGGAGACAGCATCAAACAAATCCGTAGAAATGCTCCTTCTCATTTGCCTAATCGAGTCGACTTGAGTGCTCTTAATTGGATACGTATTCTCCGATGATAGTCCTGTCAGCATTGAGGAAGTCAAAGGTTTTGATCATTAATCACTAGGTCTGTGCTATAATCTAATGTCTAGACAAACCTTAGCCCTCTCCTCCACCATCCTCGTCTATCGGTTGTTTTGTGCCCTTTTCTGCCATGCCATGTTATACGGCTCTGATGGTGAATAATTGAAGACGTGTCATTGCAAACTTCCAAAATATTTATCCGTGTTTTTCGTCTTTACAGGTGGGCTCAATCGTACGAAATCTCGGTAGATATTCCTATTTTTCCAACCAAGGTTGCACTGACAGTCGCCCGCGAAGTCCCAGTAAGTTCTTTTTGCTGTTTGAGGTTTTAACCGTCCAGGAAGTTAGCTAAAATCCCCATTCAACCAAAGTCTGTAGCGCTGTCGCATAATCTGCCATAACTTAAAATTTCCAATGTCTATTTCCTAAATGTCTTCGCAGTTTATGCTGTCTTTTCATGTCTACGCGCCTCGAACGACCGCTTCGATGGCAGTTCGACTCCAGTGGCTTTTAAACCAGTCTCACAGCTGACTTCTATGATGACTTTTAACGATGGTGGTGACGGTGGCTGTGATGGTAACCATTTGAATGTTATTTCAGGGGCACAACTTGCGGTTTAATGGTAACCGCTGGTGTTCGCTAAGCGCCCATGGTTCTCTTCATGTTGTATTTGCTGATGTACGTTTTCATTCCCTTCTTCGTTCTGGAAGTCGAGTTGGGATATTATCCCCGCTGAATAGGTCGCTTATGCTGTCTCAGATTGCTACAAATAGCGTTGAAGCTCAAATTGGGGAAGCCTCATCATCGGTCAGACCAATTATCCCAGACAACTCGCCGGATGGAGGTGCTGTGGACAGATCACAATGCACAGTCGTCCATGGACTTCGTGAATCAATCAACGATAACCCCAGATGTAGGATAAATGATGATATCATGATCTTGCAAGTGTCTGGGTAAAATAATAAAAGAAAATGAAGCCATTAAGATTCTGAAACTTTTCCGACTAAGCAGTAAAGATAGTGCGAGCTCTCAGGGTATGAAACCAAGGCCTTTAAAGATAGTTTTAGAGAGTAGACTCCAGAGGAATTTTCTACTTGAACGGACATTAGGGAGTATCCCTGGCCATAGAGGTCTTTTTAACCGGGTTACTCAGTACAAGAAAGCATGAAATGGAGGGGCTGAAGGCGGAGCTGGCGACCTTAAAAGAACAAGGAGAGAAGGGACTAGTAATAATGAACGGATTGATCGTTCGACGACAAAAACCCCTCCTGTGGAGGACGCCTGTTATACTGACGAAGGCCACACGGCCGGGCAACTAATTCGACGCAAAACCTACATAAAATTAAGTTCTTTTACAGAAATGTACAAAGCCTCTTGAACAAGCTCGACGAACTTAGAATAATTGTGGCCGAACTATGCCCTGATGTTATTGCATTAACTGAAACGTGACTCATCCCAGATGTCACAGACCCCTAGATACAGTTAGATAGTTATCAAGTGCTAAGACGAGATCGAACCAAAAAGCGAGGTGGCGTAGTTGCCCTATACATCAGCAATGCGGTCGAATATAATCCTGTTGAAGAATGTGTAAATGAGCATGATCTGCAGATGCTGTAGTGTCATTTGGTGGTCCTCAAAGCCGAAAACGTTATTGTCACCGTTGTATATAGTCCTCAAAATCAACCTGCCGACGAAGATTGAGCATTACTAACTTGACTCCGCGAGGACAGCCGAAAGCAAAACGTTATTGTTGTAGGAGATTTCAATGCTCCGCGGATTAACTGGAACCTTAGGACAGTTAAGGGCCACAGACAAGGATTCGACTTGGCACTTGATGAACTTCTGTTTAAACATGTACGAACTGTGACTCGGATGCGTGAAGGTTGGAGGGCTAGTCGCCTAGACCTACTGTTTACCAAGAACGAGGAAAGCGTTGTTTAAATAAATGTATGCCCGCCCCTAGGTTCTTGTGATCACATGACATTAATGTGGGAGTCGACACTCGTAGCTGTCCCCGAACGAAGCTCAAAGTCGTCAAGAAATGTCTGGGGGGGGGTAACTTTGAGGCAATGAAATCAGAGATTGGACACACACGATGGACGGAAGCATTACGAGGAGATGTCAACGAATGCTGGACAACTTTCGAATTAACTATGAGAGACTTCATTGAACGATACTGTCCCCACAAGAAACATCCAACCGGAAATAAACCGAAATGGCTGACAACACCGGTTAAGAAGGGAATCCGAAAAAAACGCAAGTTGTGAAAAATCTTCTTACAAGCGGGGAGCCCAGAAAATCTTCAGGAATTTAGACAACCACGAACCTTATGCAAAAGGCTCATCCGAGGAGTAGGAGCTTCTTATGAACTGAAGTTCCTGGAAGAGGCGCAGCAAAAACCTAAAGAATTCTGCATGTATCAGGGGCAATACGAAAAACCGGGACCATCTCTCAACCTTAAAGGACAAAAATAACCAAATTGTGAACGATGACTTTCAAAAAGCCGAGCTTCTTTCAGAGTTTTTCCAAAGTGTCTATACCACAGAACCACCCCTCCAGTCCTGTTCTCTTCCACAGCTCGCCAACCAATCACTTATAAGCACAGTATTTTTACACCGCAGTTAGTTTTAGCAGAGTTAAATAAGCTGGATCCGGCCAGGTCACCTGGGCCAGATGAGATCCCAGCTGCACTCCTACGTCAGTTAGTTGAATAATTAACAGAACCACTCTGTATAATCTTCCAAAAATCGCTGGAAACTGGCAAACTACCTGATACAGGGAAGTTGGCAAACGTCGTACCTATCCACAAGGGAGGATCACGGCTATGTCCCACCAACTACCGGCCGGTGAGTCTGACATGCATTTGCTGCAAACTGATGGAATAGTAAAAAAATCAATTACATCACTCGATACATTCCACTGTCACATCAGTTCAGTTTAACATGGCTTCTGCGAAAAGAGGTCCTGCCTCACAAACCTGCTTACGTCACTCGAACATTGGTCGACGGCCATGGATGAAGGACATCTAGTAGATGTCATTTACTTCGGCTTCAAGATTTCCTAAACGGTCGTGAACAAAAAGTCACTGCGGGTGGCTACTGCTCAGAATGGGCACCTGTTAAAAGTGGAGTCCCACAGGGGTCAGTTGTTGGGCCGCTCCTATTCATTATCTATGTAAATGATCTAGTACGCGAAGCGAAATCGGTCATAGCGCTCTTTGCGGACGATCTTCAACTTCGGAGATTGATAACAGATGAAGATGACGTCAAGATACTACAAGAGGACGTAGAGAATTTGCAGGCATGGAGCGAGAAATGGTGCATGAAATTCAACGTCAAAAAATGTACAGTAATGTACGTAGTATCAGCGAGACGAAGAAATAATGCACCCTCACGACAGTATCTCCTGGACAATCAACCATTTAAAACCGTATATGTATAAAAAGATCTCGGTGTATTCATGAAAGACGATCTTAGCGTCACCACGCAGTGTTCTAAAGTCGCAGCGCGGGCAATGTCAGTCATAAGCGCGATACGCAGAACGTTTATTCACTTGAATACAGATGTCTTTGGCAAAGCATATGGGACATTTGTGCGGCCGCACCTGGAATATGCGGTACAGGCTTGGCGGCCGTGGCTTCGGAAGGATATAGATATCCTGGAAGGTGTACAACGGCGTGCTGCAAAGGCTGTTCATGGCCTCAAAAATTTTACGTACGAGTAGCGCCCGACGGCCTTGAACCTCGATTCCCTCCATTACAGGCAGGACAGAGGTGGCCTCATGGCAACGTTCCAGTTGGTAAAAGGACTTAATCTGGATGTCGACTGGGAAGCGTTTTTGAAATGGCACCGAAGTCTAATCTCAGACGAAACAATTACCAGCTTAAAAAGGAACCGTGCCACACAAATCAACGTTCCTCCTTTTTCTCACAGAGGGTCATTCGTCAATGGAACTCTTTACCGGCGTATACTGTTAATTCCCCTACCGCGCGTGTTCAAGAGACAACTGGATGTTCACCTGCAACCCGAACTGCCGAAGCCTGATCTAGCAGATTACTGAAATGACTATAAATATACTACTACCGTGATTTCAACAGATCCTTTTTGTGCGTTAAACTTAACCCATATGGAAATTTTCACAGTCCGAACGCGGTGAACAAAGTTTTTCGCAATTATTTCGCAAACGCCATACCCTTTTCGCATTTATGTTCCATTATTATATTAATGCATTCTGCCCACTAAAACTGCAATTTAACTATTTTCCCTTACATCTGTACCGTCTAAATGGAGTTTTCAGGGCTTCTGTCGTTTACTCTAAATATACTGACTGAAGACGATTTATCAACATTTTTACCAAGTTAAACAGAACTACGCAAAAATTTCAGTAGACTTTCTTTCTTCACAGTTGTTCTGACCGTCTGCTAATTCCCGCCTCTTTATTTCTGGTTCCACTACTATCAAGTCTGTCAAATGTGCTTGCATTAGTCTGGCAGCACGGGACCGCATGAACGGCTCAAAAGTGTGTCTGTCCCCCCCCCCCCCCCATACAACAGCCCTGGAGGCCAAATCAGTGTCCGGCACGCGCTATTGGGCAGCGCATGAGCATGTCGTGACACGCTTAGGCGCAGCCTCCCGCCGCGCCAGTCACCTGTTCCCGATATCGCCTGCAGTCTCCTGGATTCTGTTTTGACACCGGGGCTAGGATGGTGAGGGGAGAGAGAGAGTGAGATAGCTGCTGCCCAAGTCTACTATCATTATAAACAAATTCACGCGGTAGTCACCGTCCCTGCGCCCTCCCTCCTGTGGGCATCGTCAGTAACGACGGTCGAACTGTCAGATTTGGCACGCGCTAACCTTACGGCACGTTTTGGTATATAAGGAGCGGTCTCCTACCTACTCTATCAGTACTTGCATCCCTAGTTTCTTCTTCATGGACTACCGCGTCCATCATCCGCTTCTGACATCTATTTTTTAGTCAACTCCTTGACGAACTTGCATCTTGGGAGGGTCAGTGTCTCTCCACAGCCCATGTGCTCTCCCGCAAATGTTGCCCCATGCCCTCCCAACTGCCACTGCCAATCGCATTCCTACCCGCGACCGAGACCTCGTAGCCTCTTTCAGTAGTGGAACTCCTTATCCCGCCCGCCTGACCCGTAGCTGACATGGTGAGTTTCCAAACTACGTGCCGTCTTCCTCTTCGTCTTTTGTGCCTACGAAGTGGTGGTCAGGTAGAACTCCTCGTACACCAACCAAGGGAATTTTGAACTCAGGTTAGCAGAAGTAAGAGACCCGGGTCGATAATCTAAGGAAAAAGAAGTGCTCACCAGATCGAGGGAATTGTCCTGCTGACGTTTCGGAGAGCTTTGCCGGCTCTGCATTATCGAAGCGTTTAGTACAAAAATCTATCAAAATTTTGAATAGACAGCCGAATTAGTTGGCCTTGGGCTGATCGATTTTTTTCTTCTTTCGCTGGCTTGACCTACTGGCCGTCGGTTGTAGATGTTGGTTGCCTCCTGTGTTGTGTGCCGTCACCACAATTCAAGGTAGCTGCGTTTGTGCCTCCCTTTTGGGCGAATTAGTCGATGGGCCGTGTTTGCTCGGTATTCTTAAGCTCCGTATGACTGTCTTGTCCCGGTCGTGGCGTATGTAGTGACGCAGGACTTTATATGCCGCAGGGAGGTCTAGATGCCTGTTGATGGAGTTGACATCTGAGTACCAAGCCTCAAGTGTGAGACGTTCTGTCCTTGAGGTGCCCCTGCCTAAGGCGGCTGCTCCCTGGAAGTCAGAACTGTGGCCAGTTTCTCCGATGTGAGTCACAAGCTGTGAGTTTGGGTCTAGTCTCCGAGTCGCCAGTTTGTGCTCATGTAGGCGGGTCTGCAATTTCCGTCCGGTTTCCCCAACTTAGTTGCAGTCTCCATCGTTGCAATGTATTTTATAGACAACTGCTGAGGTTTCAGTGGGTGGCAGTATGTCTTTGGGTTGCACCGAACGGCGACGAATTGTTGCCTGGGGTCGATGGACAATGCCTACCCTGGCGAGTTGTAACAGTCATGAGACCGCCTCGGAGACTCCCTTAATGTAGGGAACAGCCCTCCAGACTTCGGGTTGTTTTTCTTGTGGCCGTCGTCTGTTCACTAGGCGCTTGCTTTCCTTGATGAAGTTTGTGATAAGAACCAGTTATGCTTGCCTTATGTCTTCTCTTCCTCGCCGACTCGGCAATTGACTCCTTAACGGGTGTTTATGTTTCCACAGTCGAATGTTGCGTTGGGTTAGTTGGTGGGTCTGCGGTCCTTTTTTGCCGTACTGGGTTTTCTTCGTCTGTTAAAATATTCTCAACGAATGTGGACTCTGTTGGATTTACGCCGAAATCGAACACTTTTTCGAAATGGACCTTTTGGCGGTCTCTCTCTCTCTCTGCGTGTTGTTCTGAGTCAGTCCTGTGTCCGGGGTTTCCGTGCCGGTGTAACTACGCGTAGAATACGTCATTTGCTTGTTGGCCTCCTATCGAAGGAGGAAGGGGCTGGGAGTCTGGCTGCAATGACTCCTTCAAACCTGACCTCTGTGGCACTCTCACGCATATTTGATCCGAAGCGCTTTTACAAAAGCCTGACACATGCATTGGGCGCTGAGTCGTGTATGGCGCGCGTAGACAGGCCGTTTAGCCACTGCTTCTCAGCCCGCCTTTGGTCGTCTTAATATTGTTCCGCCGTTGGAGCGAGGTGGGTGAGGGTAGAGAAAGCGTGGAAGTTGCTGTACAAGTCTGCCCCACTATAAACTAATTTACGCACAAGTCATCGGTGCCGCATCCGCTCTGTGGGGCGCGCGTTGGTCGTCATCGTTTGCGCCGGTCAAACGGCCACTTGGAAGTTCGGTTTAGTTCACTTTTATTAGGTGGAAGATTTGCGAACGCCCTTGAACTCTCTGTTGGTTACAGATTTTCTAATAAAAATCACCGAGAAGGGGAAAGTTGAGAGAGAGAGGTTTTTTACATCATCGTATGGGGTCAGCAAGCAGTCGTCTGCCGGTCGAAAAATGATAAACATGAACGTCTACTCACATATTGCAAGTAGCATAGCGATACGTAATTTCGGCGACTGGTCATGTGGATGCGTGTGTGACTGGGAAGCTTGATGTGTGTGTAGTTTGCGCTTAAATGAATCTACACAGGAGGAGAGTACAACATCAGTGGACAGGGCGTCCCACGCTTCAACCACTAACGTCTGTGCTTTACCTGTGTGTAGTTTTAGGGGATGACCGCGCAAAGTGGGCGTGTTAGCCTGAGTGAAAAAATCACTGGGGACAAAGCAGTAGTCCAGACCATTCATAATGTGAAGGGTTAGTATGAGATCACCGCGTGGTTGCCTGTAGGAAGGGGAAGTAGGTCGAGGGTTGGCAGTCTGTTTTCATAGGACAGTGCTCCCAGACCTTTTGTCACTTTTGTCGCCCGCCTCTGGACCTTATCTAAGATAGTACAGCCCTTGACAGTCCAAGGTCTCCATGTATGCATGGCGTATTCTGTATGCGGCCGCACACAGGTGACAAATATTTTGGAGAAACCGTCTTTGTCAAATGTAATAAAGGCTCGCCTGATGACAGATGGTCCCCGCCTGCTGCAATATGAACAACTTTCCACAATTTTATGTCAGCGAACAGGATGACATCACGGCATAGGTCTCTGACGCAGTCATTGCTGTAAACAGGAAATAACGTGGGGCCTAAAACTGAGCCCTATGCGACGCCACTCATCACGGTTACCTCTGAGGACTGCTGGCGCCCGACCGTCCAATCATATAGCTCTGGACCCATACAGGGAGGTTTCCACTAGCTCCTGTGCTGTCCAGCTTGTGCAAGAGACGTTGATGAAAAACGCTGTCGAAGGCATTTCTGAAGTCGGTGTACATGGTGTGGGCCGTATTGCCTTCATCGCTTGCGTTGGTCCGGTGTCCACGTGAAAAGGTCAGATTCGTGAAAGTTGAGTGGTTTTTTTACATTGGATAAGCAGACAGTCGTCTGCCAGTCGAAAATAGGTAAACATGAACGTCTACTCACTTATTTAAGGTAGCATAGCCATATGCCATTTCGGCGATAGGTCATGTGGGTGCGTGTGTGGCTGGTAATCGAGAAGCTTGATGCGTATGTAGTTTGCGCTTAAATGGATCCACACAGGAGAAGAGTACAACATCAGTAAACAGGGCGTTCCACGCCTGATTTGATCCGGTGTTCACGTGAAAAGGTCAGATTCGTGAGACAGGATATTGTTACAATTAGATTGAGAACAGTCAATACAGGCGGGTAGGGTCTGCCTAGAGGTCGAGCAGGTGGCACACGTCGAGGAGTGGAATGACGATGCACCACAAAACAATGGGAGTGACTTACGGAGTGATAGTATCCAGTAAAGTGTTCAATGCCAAGTGAGTTTTTGCGAAATAATTTGCCAAGTATTCTCTTTGCATGGTGCTTCGGCAGGGTATTTCGCAGGCAGATGGCATACTCTTCGTCACTTCTCCTAAGTGAGGTCACACGGAATATTGGGGGGGTTTTCTTCGTGCAGAAGCCCGTCTGATTGGCAGAGGCAGGTTTTGTGTAGCAAACGAAAGCCACCAGTCTACTTATTTCTGAAGAGTTTTCGTTAAGTTTGCGTAATTCCAGACGTCAATCTATGTCAAAACGTGCCCTGCAGGGGGGCTCAATTAGAATTAAAATCCCCTTCAAACTATCAGTACGGTATCCGTTCCGGTGGGCAACCCGTTCGGGCACCTGCCTTGTATATACATATCTCAACATGACCTACCAGTCGACTTTAAGCATTCGGCCTTCTATTAGCCTGTTGAAAGCAAGCGGTGTGAGAGCGTATGTCTGTACTCAGAGCGCAACTATCGTTAGGCCAAATTCCATGTTTGAAGGAAAGGAGCAGAAGGAACCTGAATGAAGGGTTTATTGTGCACAGAACCCGGAGTTGTCTTCTCAGGCAGCAGTGGCCACTGGCGAAGCCAGGGCTGGTGTTGACAGCGCCCAGTCATGCCTGAGAGTCCCTGAGACAGTGGCGACAGTCGCTTTTGTAGGTTCGTGGGCCAAGCTCAAGTGGTGACCAGTTGGTGTGTGTTGCATTTGCGAGGGGTTCTGTCCCAGTGGTTTGCTTTGCTGGTTGCAGGGGGTGGCGCGTTCAAGTGACGCATGGGTGGTCGCAACGCTGTGTGGACGCAATTGTGTCCGAGCTGAAGTCGGTCGAGTGGCTTCAGGTCAGCGCGTCTGGAACGGCTCGCTGCAAGGCGTGAATGACCTTGAGGCAGCGACGTCTTGAACAATGACGCCAGACCGGCCATGATGGCTGCCCTCTACAAGACAACCCAGGATGAAACAGAAGACACCATGACGAGGGGACTAAATACATTTTCTACCAGGGGAACGCCTGCATGGTGGCTAAAGGAGCGGGCCACTGCTTTTCTTGATTACTTAATCATCCGCTGACCAATGCGACTGCTTCAAATAAGTAATATACTTGCGCGAGACTACTATGAATCAGGATATAAGCGGGACTGACGTCAGGCTCAAGTAAATAGGCGTATTAATCGTCCTTAAATCGTCTTCGTTGCTGAGTATATGACAGTTTGACCGTAGCTACCGAGGGCGTCCACCTTGTGGTCACACCACAGTGGGCGCAGGGACGGCAACTTGCACAGCGCCGACCACACTCCCTCCTTCGTCACCCTCCCTCCCCCCCCTAGGCCCCATATCATGACAGGATTAACAAGATCGGGGACGGAGTTGGATGCGGTGGCCGTCTGCGCAAAGATACCGCCGTTTTGCTCAAATAACAAGGTACAGTTCCTATGCCAACTAAGTGGAAGTGCCATAGAGGTCAGTGACAGTTAGCCTTACGACCCTACTTAAGTGATCTTTTTTGAGCGAATTCATTTTGGGACACCTTGTTAGATGCTGCTTCTGCCACGTGTCATGCAACTTAGACAACATTCATTGACTGAATCAGCTTATTCACTAGACGGTCAGATCAAATCAGATCAGATTTATTAAGGGAAAGGTAGGCGAGCGCCTTTGAACTCCCTCTCTGTTACTATAACGTCATAAAAAACAATCTGTAAGGCAAGTGTCAAAGAAAATTAGGT